ATTTGTTGTTTTTTCAACCCGTAACACTTTGTGATGGTTAATTTTATCTGGGCCATGGTGCCGAGATACTTGGTCAAACATCATTGTGAATGTTTTCTGTGCAGGGTTTTTGGATGAGCTGAACATTTAAAACAGCGGACTTCGAGTAAAGCAGACTGCCCTCCGCACTGGGGCGGGCTCATCCCATCAGCTGACAGACTTTCTGGAACAAGGGCTGACTTCCCCCAGGAAGGAAGGGGTTCTGCCAGCAGACTGCCTTCAGACTCCAACTGCCACAGCGCAGAGTCCCGGTGTGCCGGCCCGTCCTGCAGACTTGCCAGCCCCCACATCATGTGAGCCAATTTCCCCTGACATAAATCAACTCTTTCGATTCTTACTGTCTCTTGATTTCTCTTATGATTTTCTACTAATATGTTAATTAGTTTGCAAACATATGGAGTGTTAAAAGTATGTTTTGTTATTAATTCCTATATTCATTGCCTTTAGCTAGAGGACATGTTCATAACATAGTGACCCCTTGGAACGTATTGTGCCTTCCTTAAGGCCCAGTATATTTTTATAAATGTTCCTAGTGTGCTCAAAAAGAATTGCTGAAGCTTATTAATTTTATTTTTTGAATCTTCCATGTACCCACTTATTATTTTTTGTTTGATTTATTGGTTTCTAAGAGAGTTTTTTAAAATTTCCAAATACAGTTGTTTATTTCTCCCTGCCCTGCTGTCAGATGTTGCATCGTATATGGTATTTTGAGGTTATGTTACAGGAGCATGTATTATTTTATAATGATAGTCTTTATACACAACTGATTCTTTTATTAGTATATAATGTCTGTTACTGTTCTTTATGATATTTTTTCTTTGATTTCCATTTTATCAGTTACTAAAATTGCTGTCTTAGCTTTCTTTTCTTAAAGTATGCATGGAATTTCTAGTATTCTTTATTTTCATTCTTTCAGTATTTTTTGTTTTTAAGTTGTCTCCAAACAATATATTGTCTGATTTATTCTGTTCTTAGACTTCTTTTAATTGGTAAGTTTAATCTAATTATTATTTCCATTTTATTCCATAGTTTCCATTAACTGCACTTCCTTTTTGTTTCATTTTATAGTTTTACATTTACAATTAAGTTCATGTTCTATTTTGAGTTAATTTTTATATAAAATGTAAGATGCAGTCAAGGTTCACTTTTTTTTCTTTTCAAGACAGGGTCTTGCTCTGTCTCAAGCTAGAGTGCAGTATTGTCTTCATGGCTCACTGCAACTTCAGACTCCTGGGCTTGAGGGATCGTCCTGCCTCCCAAGTAGCTGGGACTACAGGCGTGCGCCACCATCCCGGGTAACTTTCCTACTTTTTGTGGAAACGATGTCTCGCTCTTGCTCCAGCTGGTCCTGAACTCCTGGCCTAAAGCGATCCTCTCACCTCCACCTCTCGAATTGCTAGGATTACAGGTGTGGGCCACTGTGCCCAGCCAAGGTTAACTTTTTTGCCTGTGGATGTCTCATCATACCAGCACCCTTTACTGAAAAGACTCTCCGTTCTCCATGGACTTGCTTTTGTATCTTTGTCAAAAATCAGATGGCTATAGGTGTGTGTGTCTATTTCTGGATTCTCTATTTTGCTCCATTCTTCTATGTAACAAGCCATGACATTAGACAGAGTGAGTCCTCCTAATTTATTCTTCTTTTTTCCAAAATTTTTCATATATGTGCATATCTATCTATCTGTCTATCTATATATGTATAGAGAGAGAGAGAGAGAGAGAGAGAGAGAAGCTTGTCTATGTCTATTTAAAAAACCATGTAGGATTTTGATAGGAATGGCATTAACCCTATGGGTAAATTTTGGGAGAGCTGACATATTTACTGTGTGGAGTCTTCCCCATCTCCCTGTGTGTTTAGCTCTTCTTTCATTTCTTTCATCAGAATTTTGTAAATTTCATCACACAGATCTGGTATATGTTTTGTTAAATTTATATCTAAGTACTTCATTTTTTTCAAAGTGATTCAAAGAGGTATTGTGCTTTTAATTTTGGTTTCCAATGTTCATTGTTCATATATAGAAATGCAGTTGATTTATGTGTGCTTATTAACTTATTTTTATTCTTCTACTTTGCTTTCTGTTGGACAGATCAAGTTTTCTTTTGGTTTAAAAGTTGTATTTTTGACCAGGCATGGTGGCTCACGTCTGTAATCCTAGCACTCTGGGAGGCCAAGGCAGGAGGATCGCTTGAGGTCAGGAGTTCGAGACCGGCCTGAGCAAGAGGGAGACCCTGTCTCTACTAAAAATAAAAAAAGAGAGAGAGAAATTAGCTAAAAATAACTAAAAATAGAAAAAATTAGCCAGGCGTGGTGGCGTGTGCCTGTAGACCCGGTTACCCGGGAGGCTGAGGCAGGAGGATCGCTTGAGCCCAGGAGTTTGAGGTTGCTGTGAGCTAGGCCGATGCCACAGCACTCTAGCCCAGACAACAGAGCAAGACTCTGTCTCAAAAAAATAAAAAATAAAAGTTGTATTTTTGTTCTTGTTTTGTTTGCCCTTATGACTATTTCCAGAGACTTTTAAATGTCTGTTTTTATAATTTTCGCTGGTTTCCCTGGGGAGCAGGTCAGTGGTGCTCCGCATCCCGTCACACCGGAGCGTGCCAGCCTGTGCAGCTCCCCAGGTGAACCATCTCACAGGCAGCCCACGCAGGGATCCTGACCACAGGTGAAGACCCCCAGCACTCTGTCACTCTCTCAGTCCATCACCTCCCACTGCAAGTGTGGGGGACACTGGGCCCCTCATTATGGGGCAGGTGGCTCCAGCCCTGTGCCTGGCTGACTCTCGTCTCCAGGCCGTCCCACGTGTCCCTCTCCCAGGTCAGTAAGGAGGGGGGTCCTGCAGGCCCCATCTCAGACAGGCTTCTTTTCCTGTGGCTGCACGTAGGTAACTGACTCAGTGGGTCCTGGTGTCCTCCTGGTCTGTGAGCAGCAGCTATGGCCTGACAAACGGAACATAATCACAGACTGAATCTTCCTTTACCACTGACTGAGTTACGCTGTGCTTTCTGAGATGGCTGGTCTTCAATCTTACTGGTCCGGAGAATCTTAGGACTAGAGCCCACCCAAGGAGAAAAGGCCCTTAGAGACCATTTGGTCCAGGCCACAGTGGCTCACGCCTGTAATCCCAGCACTTTGGGGGGCCAAAGCAGGACGATCACTTGAGGCAGGAGTTCGAGACCAGCCTGGGCAACATAGAAAGACTCCATCACTTAAAAAAAAAAAAAAAAAGAAGAAAGAAAAAGACTAGCCAAGCACAGTGGTGGGGTGCTGAATGCCTACAGTCCCAGCCACAAGAGAGGCTGAGGCAGGAGGATCGCTCAAGCCCAGGAGCTGAAGGCTGCAGTGAGCTATGATGGTACCACTGCACTCCAGCCCAGGTGACAGAGTGAGACCCTGTCTTTAGAAAGAAAAAAAAAAGTTTTCAGTCGCGCATTAAAATGAAATAAGGAGTTGTAAAAAATCAATGTCTGGGTCTACCCTCTGCTGCCCCAAATTAATTAAATTAGAATCCCCGAGGGTGGGACTGGGCAAAGGTGTGTCTGCCAGCTCTCAGGAGATCCAAACGTGCAGCCGGGGTGGAGAGCCGCCGCTCTCGTCTAACCCTCCATTTCACCGAAGCCCAGTGGATCAGCCAGGACTCTCCAAACAGGCAGAGCCAGCAGGATGTGGATGTGGATGAGAGACAGACACGGGCGGGAGGGGAGTCATCAGAGGAACTGGCTCACGTGGTTACCGGGCCATCTGCGAGCTGGAGAGCTGGGGAAGCCGGCGATGGCCGTGCAAGCTCAAAGGCCTCAGAACTAGGAGCGTGGATGATGGAAGTCTCAGCCCGAGACGAAAGGCCCGGGAACCCAGGGCGCTACTGGTGTGAGTCCCAGAATGCAGAGGCCTGAGAACCCGGAGTTCTGATGTCCAAGGCAGGAGAAGGGTGTCCCGGCTCCAGGAGAGAGTGAGTTCACCTTCCCTCTGCCTTTTTGTTCCACCCGGGCCCCAGCCGACTGCAAGGCGGCTGCTCGCCCCGATGGCGGATCTTCCCCACTCAGTGCACCGACCCTCCCCAGTCTCCTGGGGAAAAGCCCTCGCACACATACCCAGACATAATGTTTTACCAGCTCTCCGGGGGTCCCATAATCCATCAAACTGACGCCTAAAATGAACCATCACGCCTAGTGAGGGGAAATGACTTGCCCGAGGCCACACGGAGAGCTGGACTAATTTGGGGACTTCAGACTAATTTTCTCAGCTCTGTCTCACTCCCATTCCTTTTTATCAGGTACTTAACGATTTCAAATCAGGACATTCTAACTTATTTCTCTGTCTCTGCAATTATGACTGTAAGGCCAGGCTAAGGCAGAGCCTCTCGCTGCAGCGGGTCGGGACTGTCGAACATCGATCTTACAGGAGCTTTTCGGCCGCACGGGGCGCTTCTGGGCTGAACCAGCGCCCTCTGGGTTTCTGGCCACTCCCCGCAGGGTTAACGATGGCCTCCACGCCCAGCAGGTGTCACAACAGCTGCCCTCCCGCAACAATAGAGAATAGAAAAAATCGCCAGCCAGCGTTTGGGAGCCAGGCCGAGATTCGGTCCGGCTCTGCCGTGTGAGCCTTCCCGAGCCCCAGTCTCCTCCTCTGCGACAGCGGCTGCACGCATCTGCGTGCACAGCTGGGTTTTCTGTAAAGCCAGCCAAGCTTCGCTTTGGGGCCCGACTGGCCCCAGGAGAGGCTCTAGAAGTTTTGTAGTCACGTTTTTTTACCCTTTTTCATAAACAGAGCACCCCGAGATTTTGTCAGCTTCAGACCCCACAAAACTTGGATCTGCTCCTCCTCACCCCACAGGGCTGATCTGAGAGTTAAATAAGATTCTGTTCATAAAGCACGTGACATTTAGTAGATGTTCAATAAATGTTACTTCCTCCCAGAGTAGCCTAAGAAAGGGACGGGAGGACAGACAGACAGCAGACTGGTGTGCTGGCTGCATGCCCCTTTAATGCTCCATGCGTTGCCCGCAGGGAGGGTGCTAGGGCACCCGGCCCTTGGGGGAGGCCTCCCTGTCTCTGATGTGGCTGTGGATCCAGTCGAGGTAGCGGCTGACTTTGGTGTACACGCCGTAGTTGTGGAGCAGGCCACAGCCTTCGCCCCAGCTCACCAGGCCCACCAGGAACCAGGTGCCTCGGAAGGAGGTGACCATGGGCCCCCCACTGTCACCCTCACAGGCATCCTGCCGGTCCCCGAGGATGCCCGCACACAGCATGTTCTCAGAGATCATGTTGCTCATGACCTGCATGCACTCGTTGCGCGAGACCACAGGGATCTTGATGAAGTTGAGGATGAAGGTGCGGTTTCTCTTGGTGTCTTTCTCTCGGCTGCTCTTATAGCCCCAGCCCGTCACCACAGTCTCCTGGCCAGCCTGAGTGAGCTCGCGCTCTGCAAGGCCGCTGTCCGGGAGGCAGATGGGCACGATGTTCTGTGAGAGGGTGGCCGGCCTGTCCAGGCGCAGCAGCGCGATGTCATTGTCGGTGGTGCTCCTGCTGTAGTTGGGGTGGATGAGGACCTCCTTGATGCCCAGATCCAGCTCCAAATTCTCCCAGCGCCGCAGGTCATACTCCCCTGTGGGGCAGACGCACCGTCAGAGTGGGCGGGTGCAGCCTCTGCCCCGGCCTTTCCCGAGGCTGCCGCGAGTGCCGTGCCCCGGCCGACGCCTGATGGAGGTCACGGCTGGAGAGTGTTCACCCACATGTCCCAGGTGCTGTCCTGGGGCCACCTGTCTGTGCTGTGGATCCCTATCAAGGGTGACTTCTCCTGACAGCAGGAGTGGCCCCCAAGTGTCAATCCCAAAGGGGCAGAATTGGTCCGGATTCAGGACTCACAGAGGGAGCAGTGAGACCAGGGAAGTAATGGGTAGCAGGGAAGCCCAGGGCCCCTAGAAACCCGCAGACACAGACCCGAGCCATGAAGGGCCGTGAAGCAACTGAAGCTGGAGAGAAAGGGCAGGAGCAGTGAGAACCAGAGAGGAGGACCGGCAGAGCACGCCACTGCCGGGAAGGAAGACCCGGATCACACACACGAGACAAGGTCCTCTCAGGCCGGACTGATGGTTCCTGGGCAGGGGGCCTGGAAGCCCTAAGCCAAGCCGCACTAGAGGCCACTGGCCCGTGATTACGCTGAAGGTAATTGTAGGCAGTGTGAACTGCTCGTTCTCAACACACCTCTTCCTTCCTTTTGCACAAAGACATGAGTAAGAAACCTCTCTAGAAATGGCATAGACTGGGGCCTGTGCCCGGGGACCCCAGACTACTAGGGACACAGCTCTCTGCTTTGGCAGATGCCAGGGCCCCTGCTGCGTAGCTCCATCCCTGTCCGTCTGTGAAGCACAGCCCTGAGGCCAGGCCTTGCAGGTCTCTGCACCCAAGGGTGCTGAGGTCCACCCATGGCCTGCTCCGCAGGAGTGGGAGTGAAGAGCTGAGGGTGTGTGTAACCCCTCACTTACAAACACATGTGTGCAAGGACCTGTGCCCAGATTTGAAGAGGGCACCAGAAATCCCCTACCTGCAAAATACCAGGTGTCATAGGGTGGGCAGGGTGGGCACACATAGTCCTTTTCCCCCCAAACACCTTCTGTGGAGATCAAACAATCTCTTGCTCAAGTATCCTGGGGACCAGGGTCCCCCAAACCTGGACAACTTGCCTGGTCCCCACCCCCGGGGCCCCTGGCAAACCCCTCTTGCCTGGCTCCAGCCCATACCAAGCCTGACAATGAGCTTCCTGGAGCCCTCCATGCAGTGGGCCGCCGTCAGCACCCAGGAGGGGTGGATGAGCACCGCCCCGCAGGCCAGCTGCTTCTTCGAGTCCAGCAGGACCACCTGGAATGGGGATGGGGCAGCCACGTCACAGAGCTGCTCTCCGGCAGCTCCAAGGGCATGGTTCTCAAGCACTTCCCTGGGTTCCCTGGTCACTTGGGCATAGGCTAGGGACCTTTTCTGGAATTTTCTATTTCTGCACATTTTATGGTGTTGGCCCATCCCAGGGTGTCTTCCTGACTTTGCTCATGCTGCTCCTTTGTTCCATGCTGTTCCAGTCATCCTCAGCCACACCCAACATCACCCAGTGAGCTCCTCTGATCCTTGGGGGCTTGGGCCAGGACTCGCATCCTCTGGGAAGACTCTGTGGCCCTAGGCTGCCTTGGCAGCTCCCCTCGGGCCTCCCTCAGCCCCTGTCCAGACAGCCATCCTGGCTCCAGTCCCACTGGGTTGCCTTGTGTTTAGAGTCCTGACCCTCCCAGAGTCCGTAAGCTCCCCGAGGCCACTGCCCCCACATGTTGATTTCTGTACCCTGCCCCCGACCCCCAGCGCCTGGCAGAGAGGCACCAAGTAAGTGTTAGTTCCCACGTTGAGGCTGGAGGTACTCAGGACCAGCCCTGACTGTGCCAAACCCCTCCCATTAGCGGGCCTCTCCCTGACATGCTGCAGCACAGCGTTACTTTCCCCTCAACACTGCAGCGCCCCTGCCCTCCTGCTCCACGGCCACCCCGCCCCACCCTGGCCGGCCGCTCCTCTCCCTTTAGCACTCCCCACAAGCCCCCCAAGCGATGGCAGCACTTCCTGCCCGTTCCTGCACCCAGAGCGACCCAGCGGAGGAGAGAGGCAACCTGCCCTTACCTGCCAGGGGCTGTCTCCCTGTCTGGTCAGCTTCCCGTTGACGAGCCGCGGGTCCACGTGGTCTGCTCGGTCTGGGTCCACTCGGTCTGCTCTGTCTGTGTCTACTCGGTCTGCTCGGTCCGGGTCCACTTGGTCTGCTCGCTCTGTGTCTACTTGGTCTGCTCGGTCTGTGTCTACTTGGTCTGC